AAAAGCACATTTCCAGGTAGAATTGGCTGTATTTTGGGATAATATTCATATACCGTTATCATAAGCAAAACTCCTGAAGGAGCATGTTACACAAGGTACATATCACAGTGGCCTAGCAGATAGGATTTATAAGGTAAACTGGTAGCTGGGCGACGGTGGCTCGATTGCACGGTGTAATCTAGCACTCTGGGAAGCCCGAGGTGGGCTGGGATTGATGCGACTGGGTCTTCTAGGGAGTTCAAAACGCAGGCTGCAACAGAGCAGGTGGAGAGCCCCCGGTTCTCTGACTACTAAATATAAAGGATTAATACTTGGCCAAGCGGTGAATATATATTCCTCCATATGTAACTAGACTATACCCTACGTAGTTTATATATATAGTAAATTTAGGCGCGGGCCATCTGGTGGCACGGTTCCTGTAGTCCACCGCTACTCAGGAGGGCGCGCGATGAGGCGAGCCAGGGGATTGCGTTGAGGCCCGAGCAGGTTTGAGGTTGCTGTGGAGCTCAGGCTGCATCCCTGGGACCACGTCCTCTAGCTTTGTTTTTTGGCAGCGAAGCGAGATCGTGTCTCAAGAATTTAAATTTTAATAAGTTAACGTATAGATAGGTGACTAAGCATCTGCTTTCTATGGTGCTTCTTATGGACGTAGGATCGCAAACTATCTGAACTTGCTGCTGAAGGAACAGTGTTCTAGGGTTTGGGCTCTGGAGAAGTAGCTCATCAGCCTGTTAGCTGCGTGGGTGTGCACTTTGGGGTAAAGCAAGCTGAGCCTCTCTGGCCGGGTTGTCATGTACATACAAGACTTATACAGGTTCTAGAGGTAGAGTTTTGTGTAAGGCTTAAAGCCAATTTCATGCTCATGTAAAGGCATCTGGTTTTAGCCATTATTTATTTAAGTTTTATCCCACGCTTACTTTCTAAAGCATGTCTTTCAGCGAGTCACCAAACCTTAGGGCTAAGTAGATATTTGCTTATAAACCATTTTTAAATTTATCTAAAGATGTAGCCAAGTTTTCTTGCTGATGGATGTATAAAGGGACTTCTTGTTGGAAGTGGAATTGGAGACGGAGATGTTGAAAGAAATGAATACACTAGAGAACTCGCATTGTCACAAAAGACCATTTCATATAAGTTTTACCGAAAAAAAATTAGGCGCAATAAGATTAGCGCAGCCAGGTGGTGGCTCTGCGATGTAATCCAGCCTCTGGGAGCCTGACAGCAGCGAGCCGGCTTCAGGTCCCGGAGAGTCGCGAAACGCAGACGGCTGGAAGCAAGAGCGAGGACCGTCTCTACTAAAAATAAAAGCAAAATCTAGATTAGCCAGTAAAAGAATATATACGAAGAAAGTTAGCTGGTCATGGGTGGCCGCATGCCTGTAGTCAGTGGGAGGCTGAGGGCAGAAGGATTGCTGAGCGCCAGGTCAGTTTGAGGTTGCTGTGGCTAGGCTGATGCCCCGGCCACTGTAGCTGGCCAAACACAGTGAACTGGTGTCCTCAAACAAAAAAAATTAGCAACTCTCTTGACTGCTTATGGTTTTAAAGAACCCATGGGGTAAACAATGGAATAGACAACCACGACAGTTTGCAGTTATTCTATCTATTCATGTACATTTTTTGATGATGCGTTGACTTTCCTAAAATTTTGTTTTATCGCGCGTTAGTGCCTTGACACCATGACAAAAACGGCCTCTCAACACTGTGAAGACTGAACTGTCAACGTAGAAAATGGCAGTCTTGCAATCTGCGCTTCCCCTCTGTGGGTTAACTTGGAGACTGAGAACCAGAGAATATGAGAGCACTTTTACACAGGATTATGATTATGGGGTCAGGTTGTAGCACATATTTTTTTACAAATTGGTTTCAGCTCTCTGCTGAAGAGCAACATGATTGGTATCGCCTCTCCGCTCGCCGGCCGCCCACCCGCCAGTCCGCCAACGGTACGCCCATGATTTTCTAACAAATAATCTTTGGGCCCGGCGCCGGTTGTTCTAACGTAAAATTGTTGGAGTTTTTTTCTTCCCGCACTGTTGGTTTTTCCACACTAAGCTAAGCTTGGTTTCGTTCATCACAACCTAGGACTCGTGTAATCCTATTTGATGAACAAACCAGTTAGATTTAGTGTGAAAAACCAAGTTGGGAAGAAAAAAACTCCAAAATTTTAGTTAGAACACCCCCAAAAGGATTTATTTTTTAGAAAATCATGGCTCACTATGGTAGTATACAATATTGTTTTTATACATGAATACTTGAAACCAATTTTTAAGAAATAGTTGTTGTAACATGACACCATAATCTAATCCGTGTGTCCGACAAGTGCTTCTGCATTCTCCAGTCTTCTAAAATCTCTTCTGGTTTCAAGTCTCAAGGTCTAACACAGAGGGAAGAGCTTGCAGATTTTGTATTTTCGTTACAGTTCAGTCTTCAGCAGCTTGAGAGCTTTTTTCATGTTGTCAAGCACTAATGGGGATAAAATTAGGAGAGTCAAGGCATCATCAAAAATTACATGAATAGATAGAATAACTGCAAACTTGGGTTGTCTATTCATTGTTTAATGGGGTGCTTTAAAATCATAGAGTAAGTAGTTGCTAATTTTTTTTTTTTTTTGAGACACAGTCTCACTGTGTTGGCCAGGCTAGAGTGCCGGGGCATCAGCCTAGCTCACAGCAACCTCAAACTCCTGGGCTCAAGCAATCCTTCTGCCTCAGCCTCCCAAGTAGCTGGGACTACAGGCATGCGCCACCATGCCAGGCTAATTTCTTCTATATATTTTTAGCTGGCTAATTAATTTGTTTCTATTTTTAGTAGAGACGGGGTCTCGCTCTTGCTCAGGCTGG